CACACACACACACACACACACACACACACACACACACACACACACACACACACACACACACACACCACAGCCAGCCCCATCAGAACGCGATGGGACTGAAAAACAAAGCAAAACACACACACCGCAGTCAGCTCCCTCGGGTTGGGGAAAAAAACATGAAAACATCCCCCCCACAGCACAGAAACATAGCCCCCCCAACCCAAACCCACCCTGCAAAACAAAGTGAGTCCTCTATAGGCCTCATGAGCAGAAAGCAGCACCAGGCAGTCTGAAGCCTCCTCCGATGCACATACTCTATCCGCTGGGGCGAAAGAGCTACAAAGAAGCTCTTTGCTGACCAATTGTTAGCCCTCTAATGTGAATTCCCCACCTTTTTCCCCTGCATCTTTTGATTGTAACTCGAAGCTCTGGCCGCAAGTTGAAGCAAAATTTTGCGGCTGGAGCTGGTCGCAACTCGAAATGGTCGTATGTTGGGAGAGTTGTAAGTTGAGGGACCACTGCATATCGTTCATGTTGGTTTCACTTCCCCCTGGTCTGAATAGGCTTGTTAAAAGGACAAAGGACTGGAGGTGAGGGATAATTCCATTTCTGCAGTCCTTCTCCAACCCATTATCATGGATTGTTAACGGTCGTTAACAGAAGTCTTTTTGGTGTGTGTGGTCCTTATCTTTCTGGGGATGGATGAAAGGGCAGCATGAAAAATAGGAGACAGATTGTATCTATTAGAAAGATTAGGACCTTGCAGAGCAGAAAGACCACTGTTAATGACTGTTAATGACCCATGACAATGTGTGGATAAAGACCGCAGAAGTGGGATTATCCCTCACCACAGTGGCCTTTCTGGTGTACGTGGTCATCTTTCTGGGGATGAATGAAAGGACAGCATGATAAATAGGAGACAGATTGCATCTAAGGCCTCCACCACTGTTGAATGAGAGATTTTCTGTATGCACATGTATGGCCTCCCTGACTGCAGAAGTGGGATGATCCCTTACTTCCAGTCCTATGTCGTTCTAATGAGCCTATTCAGACCAGGGAGGTGAAACCAACATGGAGGATATATTAGGGATCTCCTACCCACTTTCCAGAGACTGAAGAAGCTGCTTGGATGAGTAGCGAAATGTTTCAGCCTAACAAGAAAGAAGTCCAGTTGCCATGACTCAGCTTCCAGACAACCACACCTGGATGACTGAGAATCGTCACAGATTTATCTCCTTATCTGTTCAAACTGCATGCAAAACATATCATATGGAAAGCCAGGTAGATTTAGATGAACAAGGAGTGAAAACTTTGTCCTTTCTGGTGTGCATGGTGCTCTGCCCAATTTCCATCAAGATTTGGCATTTGAAAAAAGAAGCAGTGAGTTTCCTTGCCACAACTTAACTTCCAGACAGCCACAGATATTTGTTCTTATGGTACAATGGCCTGAAGCCAGATTTGTTCTAAGGACTTCTGCAAAAGGTTGCAGCGCTAGTGGGTATCAACTGTAGGTTCTGCAGAAACTTTATCTGGCCCCTGTGGCTCTGCCCAATTTCCATCAAGATCTGGCATTTGAAAAAAGAAGCAGTGAGTTTCTGTGGATATCTGATACTTTTTATAATATTCCTGCCTAATGCATACCCTGGAAAAGCAAAGGACCCCTGCCAATCTACCTCCTGGGTGGATCTTTCAGGAAACCTATTAGTTCCATACAGAGCTTGGAAAAGATAACAACTGCATTTTCTTCCAACCTTGTTTCACACTGAGTTTCAAGATTTTGTTTTTCCCTCTGGCATGAAAACTTTGGGATGCATTTCCCCCTGATGTGTGTATTTTAAAATATTTTCCACATTAACGGAAGTCTACTCGTGTTTTTATTTGACATTTTGTGAACTGCAGTTTGAAAAACTAACTTTTCCAAGCTGTGTTTCTGACTTGTGTCCAGAAAATGTACGCAAAAAACAGGAATCCTACACTCACCTGTAGAATTAAAGGTCAGTGGACTCAGTGGGGCTTGTTTCTGAGCTGACATGTAAAATATTGCATTTTAAAGGAACAGGAATCAGGAAAGAAAGTTGTGGTTGCCAAGAAGGAGGAAGAGGAGAAAGCGGGTGAGAGGACTGCAGACAAAAACGTTGTTGGTCAAGTATACTGTACACATGAATGGGATGCTATATCTGTGAAATTTGTGTTACGTTTGTGTGCTTGTCTTAAAAAAAGATGGCTGATCTTCACTTAACCAGCATAGCCTTTGCACTAAACCATTATGTGGTGACAACAGCAGTATACTGTATGTAGGAGTTAGTTCTAAGGTAACTGCTAGTGTTAGGGTTGCAAATAGAAAATGAACAGCTATATTAGGATGCTTAGGATTCATTGTCTCCATTTGTACAAGAACAAGCTGTTTCAAATCATTGCAGACAGATCTCATAATGTGAAATGCAAAAGCAGCTTACTGGCTGGAATCCTGTTGCACTGTTATCCAAACAATTTAATTTTCAGAGGTGAATTTCTATAAGCTAAAAAATCTCCCTAGAATTTATCAGTTGCATGCCAAGTTGCGCAACTCGGTGTGCAACAAATAATTACAGAGATTTCTTAGCTTAACAGCAGTTCATTTCCAAAAATTACATTGTTTGCGTAACTGCAGAACAGTATTTGAGCAATTGTATTATTCATTAATTATCGTTAGCTAGGTTGCTGTTATCATCACCACAGAAAAAGAGTGAAAAAAGAAGTAAAAGTAGGAAATAATTGGTTATTTGGGGAATAATGAGTAGTATAACTATTAGTTACAGCAGTCTAACTTGTGGATGTAATGAGTAACACCTTTATTTAGATGAAAAAAAATAACACCTAGTTATTTTCAACTCTTACTTTTGAAGGGCATTTTAAATAATTTTAAAAGGCATTTAGCAAAGTGGCAAAGGAACTACTCTTTGGTTTTATTTACTAATTACTTATTTAAAGCATTTTTGTCCTGCCATTCTCCTAAGAAAGGACTCCTTAAAAGGTGTGGACTTTTGCATTTTTATAATCATTTCCAAGGTGCAGAATCAGAATTGGCTAGTAGAGGAAACTAAAGAGTATTAGTAACAGCAGTGCAATACATTAATCATGTGCAATGCACAGAGTTACTTGTATAGTGGAAGCACTGATAATGCAACAAGTTCCTTTTTAATGTTCCATGCTCTACATTACCATTGCCTCAATTGCACTATGGTGCACATTATTAAGTGTGTTGTCATTACTAACAGGCCATAAAAATATAACAAAAGCCTTTCTAGTCTGTTTTAGTGGCAAATTCTAATACTGCACCTTGAAAATGTTTGTAACAAGAGAAAAGACTTCATGTCCAACTTTTGTCCTCTTAGTACATTGACCCGTCAATCAATATGCAAGTCTTTCTAAACAATGTTTCAGCAGTTTGGAGGTGACTAAGATCTGACTATGAAAACTTCCTCCTACCACTTAGTCATATGGAGAAATTCAGAATGCTAGGAATACCGTATATGCCGCCGTACTAGGTGATGGGCTGTATTAGACGACCCCCCCAAAATGCGGCGCCGGGAAGAGGCTTGGGGGGGGCGGCAGGAGGAGGAGGAGGAAGGGAGAAAGCGGGGGGTGGAGAGTGAGCGCGCACCACTTCCCTTCCTCCATCTGCCTGCCTGCCCACCTGCGTTCCTCCCTGGCGGCGTCAGGAGGAGGAGGAGGAGGAAGAGGGAAAGTGGGGGGGTGGCGGGCACGCAAGCATGCGCCGCTTCCCTCCCTCCACCTGCCTGCCTCGCCGCCTGCCTTCTTCCCCGGCCAGCGCGGCCCCGCATCACTCTCTCGGCGGCGGCGGTTCCTTCCTGGCACCCGGTGTACAAGACGGGCCCCCCACTTGGAGGCATGTTTTGGGGGGCCCAAAACTCATCTTGTACGCCAGCATATACGGTATGTGAATATGGAATACAAGAGACTGAAATGGAGAAATGCAAAAAGAATTAGACAAGAAGAATGTATATTTGGGGGTTAGGAGCAGCACAGTTATTTTAATGTAGGGGTTGGCAACTTGTGGCCGTCCAAATGTTACTGGATTGCAGCTCCCACCTTCATTCAATATTGGCTATAGGTCAATATAGGTCTCCATCCCTCTTTTAGAAAGGCAATTCACACATTAGAAGTGACTTGATGGCACATAACATCTATGGAGTTTTTTCCTCACAATTGTATAGTGACAAGATGGGTAGAATGATTGAAACCTTGACAGGATATAATCACCACTAACATCAAGTAAAACCATCCTCAGCCACAAAGCCAAAAAACAATAAAAAGGCATATTAAATGAATGAGTTTTTGAATAATTGTTCTGTATTCTTTTAAATAAATAATTGTCTATATATAATTGTCTCATAAAATGTTGATTTGGTTTGCCAGCACAAGATCAGGAAGCAATAGTACTATTGTGTCTACATGCTAGTCAGCTTCAGGTAAGGGTACAAG